CACACAGCCCCCGGGGCCAGCAGCGACAAAGCCCCACCGGCACCCGCCATACTAGAGCAGATCCAGGAAAGGGCACAGAGGTCCGGGCCCCCAGGGCGCACCCCCCCCCTCCCCAGGCCAAAACCCGACAGGTCCAGAGGCCCCGAGCCCCAGCAGGCAGTCACCAGGCCAGGCCGGCACATACTCCAGCTCCCAGCCCCAGACCCCGGGAACCCCCAGCACGCCGGCAGCCAGCCGGACACCCCACCGGGGGGCCGAGTAGCAGCGGGCCCCCAGATAAACCAGCAGTAAGGGCAGTCCAGACTGCAGCCTGACAAATACCCAAGCATACACATGATGATGTCATCATCCTGCGACAAACTGAACCGCTTACACCGCTAGCTCTGCTAACACTGCTAACACTGCTAATGCTGTAACCAATAAAATGTTAGAGGAAAATATTTAACTAGTTAGCTAAATAGTGAACACATGCTAGTCACATTTTTTAATATTTATTTTACACTTGTTGCTTCGTACAAATTTGTTTATAAATCCCAGCTGATGGAACTTCCTTTCATTTATTTATTTGCTCTCATTTTTTTTCCCAGTCAGGAGTCAGAAGAAACGGGCGTGTGGTCCAGGGCCACTCGATAACCGCCGAGGCACCACGGGATGAGCACGAGGAAGACGCAGAAGAGGACGAACACGATGAGGACGCGTCTGTAGCTCTCCTGACGAAACAGCAGCGAGAGGAGAAGCTCAGAAACGCCGGAGGGACGTCTCCTTTCTGCCGTCCCGGTCAGAAGACCCACAGCACCAACCGCTCTCAGAGGGATATCCAGGACATGAACCCCACCACTTTAGACCCTTCTAACCTCAGTCCAAGGTGAAGTATTTAATTAAAACCTTGGCATTAACCATTTGTTTTTTAGCAAAATATCTCTGATTATCTTTTGGATTCAACTTAACTGAAGATGATTGCCTCAGCCAATCAACCTCAGCCAACAATAAATAGCTATAACAGCAGAATTTTATAGAGAATGAGTTACAAAGGTAGTAATTATCATGCAAGAGATTATAATATTGCATAAGATTGTGCAGAATGTTATTTTTTAAGGGAACTTGCAAATTTCACATTTTTTAGCTGTTAAATACATTTTGTTGTGGACTTGGAGCCTCTAGGAGGCAGAAAAGTTGATTTTAGTCTCTCCTTTGCTGCAAACATATCTTTACATTCTGTTTGGGACATATTTTTCAGCCCTTTCAGTGTTCTATATTTTCTATGATGTTTACGTCAAATTATCTGCTTTGTAGTCCTTTGGTTCTGGGTCAGACTCTGGTTCCAACATGTGGTTTCTGTTGCTGAAATATTTTTAATTAAATTGTATATAAAACATCTCGGCATTGCTAGAGAATGTAACTCCCTCTCTCAAACCGGAGTGGACCGGTCTGGAAGCAGGAGGGGGCGGGGCATGAAGCGTCTTAAAGGAACAGTATCAAATCCAGCTGTTTTGAGGCAAACAGCTGGAAAATGGTGGAAGATGGGCTGGTAAAGTTTAAATAAGGAGGAATTCGACCAAAGCATTCTAGTTCCACTTTATAAAGACTCCAACTGATTGATTTAAATGTGAAAAGGGACGATTTAAAAACATGTCTACTTTAAAATTTAAACAAAATGGCTCCATTTTTTACTCTTTGAACACTTTTAAATGACTATTTTTTATTTTATATTCTGATATTCTTATAGGAAATGTTCCAGGCTGCATATATA